GGGAGGGAAGACAGTAGTTCTCAAACTGACCTCAGGACTCTTTACATACTTAAAGGCTGTTAACCCTAAAGAGCTTCTATGCTAGTTATATACATTATTATTTACCAATATTAAAAATAGTAATTCATCTAAAAATACCTGTTAGCATATATATTTTACCAAAAGCAGTTTTCCAAAGAAACAGAGAAGGAAGGTTATTTACTCATCTTGTTAATGCTCAAATTAACAGAGGACAGTTGAATTCTTGTATTTGACTCTATGTAAAGTTTGCCAGAATATGGTATTTTGGTTGATGTATATGAAGGAAACTCATCTTCACAAACACATGGTATTGGGAAAAATTTATTTTAACAGTTTGTTTTGACCAAGTAGTAGATATTTTTCTCTGACACTAAAACTTGACAAGAAACTTTGCTGACACGTACGCTGAGGTGTGGAATGTGAAGTTGTATCAAGGAACACTGTAAAATCCATTGCACTCAATGACCCTCTCACACTCATGTGATTGTGACCCTGAAGGCCTCCTGAAAGTCTCAGAAAGACAGCTTTGAGAACTGCTAGATTTAACAGTTCGAGGTAATACAGGTGGGACAGCGAAGAGGTCAGCCTTGAACAGAAGGAATCTCCTCCTCTGCATGTAGAGAGACGCAGAGGTCTGAACACAGACATATTAATATTCAGAAGGAGAGGGAAAGCTCCTGCATGATGCCATGACCTCCATGGAGCAGGACACGAGGTAACTGAAGGCTCAAGAAAAGAACTGTCTGAGCGCCTTCAAGACCAAGTCTCAAAAGGCACAAGTGGCCTTCCCTGACAGCCAACTACTTTGCTCCAAAATGTCACCTGGTCATTTTCTACTCGACTATGCTAGTGTTTTTGTTTCTATGATCTCTGCCAGACAGTCGTGCTCATGGGCAGGGACCCAACCAAGTTCACTTCAGCAACTACACAGCAAACATTCGTGTTGAATAAATAACTGACTTTTTAAATTAAGAAGTCCTATCTACCTAAATAGGCTTTGCAGCTGTCTCTTCACATTACTTTTCCTTATTTGCTCAGATTTCTTTCTACTCTAAGAGTACAGTGTAGCGGACAAAATTGCTACCGGTAGAACTGTAGAACAATTCTAAAAACCATAGCTAGAATGCAGGAAACTGAAGGCAAAACCAGGCTGTCTTCCAGCAAGGGGTACATTCCCTAACTCCTTCGCACCCACGTTTCTAGCACCAGAGGTGCTGGTGCCCAGAGTTTCGGTGACAGAATTTAAATTTTTACCTCAAACACATTCTTACCACTCTAAACCAAAATATAAACAGGTGTTAACCTTTTTTTTTTAAATCGTGTGTGTGTGTGTGTGTGTGTGTGTGTGTGTGTGTGTGTGTGGTGGGGTATATGCACATGAGCACAGCGCCAGAGGAGGCCGAAGGCAACAGGTATGGGAACCAGTGGATCTGGAATTACAAGTGGTTGTCAGCTGCCTGATGTGGGTGTTGGGAATAGAACTCAGGTACTCTGGAAAAGCATCTCTCCAGCCCCAATGATTACCTCTTGATGATGACTTTTATGGTAGTTCGATTTCATTTTGCATTTCAATAATGAAAATAGACTCCAGAAGAAAAAACTAAAAAGCATAATCTTTTTCAAATTGTTTAAGATTTACTTGCAATATACTTATGATTAACAGAGGTAGAAGAGGATATATTGCATACGAATGAATAATAGATATATTCATGACTTTTCAGTCATTACTTTTTATATAGCAAAAGAAAACCATATTTTCAAATACATCAATTCAGACAAATATTCAAGTTTAGGTGGTAGTGGGAAGTGTGCTAAAATCAGTGTCTGCTTGTGGATGCCAAGTCTTCCCACTCATTGCCATTCTCAAGCCAAGTAACATACTTTGTTAGCATACCCAAATCGAGTTCAGAACATTCGTGTCCAGTGAATTGCTCCCATGCATGAACTCTTTCAGACTGTGCTCCCTTAGTACTCTAACCAGAGAAGGTTCTGCACAGGATTCAGGAGCTGGGGTTCCATCACTGTCAACTGTGACCAAGGCAGTGAGTCAATTTCTTTGGACCTTGGTTTCTTCACCCAAACACCAGTGATACCAACGCCTCAGAACTGTAGCATTAAAACCCACAAGTGTAATGGGCTTAATTTTGTCACACAATAGATGGTCAAAAAAAGGTAGTAATTCCTCTTCAAGCAGAGATTATTGATATATATTACTTTTAAAACAAATTGCAGAAGTATTTAAATTTAGTTCTCAGAACAATGGTAGTGGCTACTGGTAGGGTACCAAGATGTAATCTAAGAATGTAGCTGGTTTTGCAGGTGCTGTTGGTCTTTATTAATCGCTGCATTGCATTATGTTTATAAACCTTCTGAAACATATTCACTTCCATGCACTCTTAACAAAATGTGTTGGACAACCATTAGTATTTATTTTTTAACACAAATCATCTGCATTATGTACAAAATCTCATATTTCCCAGCACTACCAAAGTCTACAAGGCTGATGCGCTCTAAGTTAATCATACATCTTTCTTGTATATTGATTTAGTTGAGTGGCAATTTAAATTTTCTTGGCTATATTAACCTATATAATATCACCCATTCCACCAAAAAAATGCCCAATTTGTGCTAGATATTAATCCAGGTGCCTGGAAATAAAGCATTGGGAAAATTGGAGGAAAAACAAAAGACAAAAACCCATAGGAGTTAGAAATAGGCCAATGAATGCATTTTGTAATTAAATGGTGCCAAATGGAGTGAAAAACCTAACAGCGGGCTCAAAAGGGAAGTCACTGTGGACCTCTTGAGACCTCGATACAAGGGAGCTGCCAGACCAGAGACTGCTAGAGAAAGTACAACCGGGGAAAACCGGGAGGTCTGGAACAGGAAGGAGGCGAAACTCCGAAGAACGTTTAGCATGAAAATAGAAGAAAAGTTGAGCTGGCAGACGTCTTCAAGGATCACCGAAAAGGCAGATCTATACAAATAATCTTGTTTCCAAGGACCCTGGGACACAGGTTTCTGGGGGGCTGTGACCATGGCAACTGGCGTAAAGGATCTGCATTTCCGCTCCCTCTTGCAGGAAGCGGTCAGGCGCGCGGGCCTCCGGGTCCACCTGCTGATGGACCGTCCGACCCCCGTGACTGAAGCCGAGGTTCCACCTGCTGATGGACCGTCCGACTCCCGCGTCCGGAAGCACCTCGGCGGAAAGCCGGGAGACCCGGGGAGCCGCCGACCAGATTTCCGCTCTCCGCGCACGCGCGTCCCCGCGGGAGCCGCCACTTCCGGTTCTGGGGAGGCGACCCCAGGGCACAGCGCATCGCTCGCCTCAGCTCCACCCTCGGCCCCACCCCAGTGCTCCTCCGGGGCGCTCCGGCCGCGCAACCTACTTCCGCTCCCACGTCCCTCGCCGGGCACCAGGCGATCAGCGTCCCACCGCTTCCCGCGACCCCCGAGGAGTGGAGGCCACGAGACCTCAGAACACTGGCGACCCCAGAGCCTCCGACCCAGGCCTGAAGGCTGGCGGCCAGCAGAAGACCCGAGCGAGGGGCGGTGCCAACCCGGCAGGTCCCGCCCAGCCCGCCCCGCCCTTGTCTTCTTGGCGCTCCACCCCTGGAGGAACTCCTAGTGTATCACTGAGCGTCTTTAAGTGGGAGCCTGCCCCTTTAAATCTGGTGGCTGAGTCGGAGGCCAGAAATAGGAAGGCTTCCGGGCATGCGCAGTGCCCTAACGAAAAACCGCGGTCTCCCTGCCTTGAGGTAGAGCCCGCTGCTTCGGCAGGCTGTCGGGGAGGGCGTGGGCCCGAGCCTGTGGCCCCGCCGACGTGGACGGGGCCGCGGGGAGCGAGAAGCCCAGCGCGGCTGTCGGCCGGGCCGGCGGGGTCGCAGGGGGTGGGAGCCTGCGCGCTGGGAGGGATGCGCGGGAGCGGGGGAGGCTCGCTGCTTCCAGCAGCATCCGGGCCCAGCCTTTCCCCTGCCCGCTGAGCTCAGCCGCTAGCTCCCGTGCTCACCCCACGCGGGTGGAATTCCCTCCTCGCTGCCTCCTCCCCAGGTCTGGCCTGGGAAGCCTTAGGTGTGCTCTTTGTGGGAAAAGATCACTAGGGTTCCGAGGCCTGTCCGCCCCGTGCACTTGATGCTGTTTCCCAGCTCCGCCACGTCTGGCTGTCAGGAGCATGCCGCCCAGTTCCATCAGATGCTGCCCAGTTCCATCAGAGATGCTGCCCAGTACCATCAGAGATGTTTAGGTCTCCCGCTCCTCCGCAGTAGATTCTAAACCTTCATTCGGGATCTTTCATGGTGTCCAAATTACCACCCGGTTCCTGCTTTCACAAGCTGTGTGTCCGGGATTTTTATTTTCTCCCACACATTGCTTATTTTGTTTGAACATCGCTTGTGATAACCCCGCATCACTTCTATCTCGAATTATTTCAAGGGCTTCAGTGGCATTTTCTGTGTGCACCTGCTCTGTGCTTGATGTTCTAGATGTGGTCTCATCAGTAGTGAATGAGGTAGCGTTCCTTCTCACGTGTAATTGACATTAGATTGAGGAAGGTGGACAGTAAAGGAAAACATTCACTAGAAATGCCATGCAAAAAGTTAGATAGGGTTTGTGTGAAAGAAAATATTGTAGATTCTTACAGATTAGATTATTGGTTAGTGAAAACCTCTGAGAAGGTGACTCCTGAAAGATTCATTAGGAAGTTAGCCCCAAGGCTGAAGGCTGGTGTGACTAGTATAGTGGGTAATAGGGATAAATTCAAGATGAATTTTCAGAATAGATAGGGTCCAAAGTCTTGGGTAGATAGTTTGGATTTTATTATATATAATAAGGATTTTAAACAGAAGTTGTGATATAACTTCCTTTTTAATTCAATGTTTTGCATGTTACATATAGAGTAGGTTATGGTGGGCTAGACATAGAAATAAATGGCTCCAACAATGTCTAAGAATTTGGGAGTTGGAAGGATAGTAAAGGGTAGTAAAAGTGGGATCAGGGAATCATTCTTGCAGATGATCGAGTTTTGGGTAAAGAGAAAAACTATGACCGTGAGAGTGATGGCCAAAATCAGGTGGGGTGAGAGGTTGAGGAAGACTGGGGGATTAGGGAAGACGTTATTAAATAGATGATCTGTTTGGGTGATCGGGAGGTTGTGCTGGAAGAGAAAGATGATGATGAGCCCGAAGACGGCTCTGGATGAGGAGTTTTGTGGGGTCAGAGAGGGTGGGAGAAAATTGTCAATGTCTGATGACGTGAACTGCATGATCCAGGGTTTTTGGAGGTAGAAGAAAAAAAACTGGTTTGGAAAGATCAGTGGCAAGTGTAGAAATATGACCTCCAGGACCTAAGGTAGACAGGTTAAAAGTAAAGCTGTCCTCAGGAGAGGCAAGCACAGAAGAGAAGGTTTCGGTTAGGGCATGACGAGCTGAGGGGTGAACCTGCTTTCCTACAGCCCCATGTGCTATGGTGCCAGTGGGTTGTGCACTGACCGTGAGCTAGAACTGCTCTTGTCTGCTACCCTGACGCCAGTGATTTGGCAGAAAATTTCCTCTGGATCATCTTCAGAATTTGTGTCTGTCTTGTCGAGGGATTTAGAGAAGGCTCATGGATCAGGGTAACTTTTTAATCCTTCCAAGTTGGTGCTAAGAGCTTTGCTTATGTATTACTTTAGATGATTCTTTTCTGTCTGCTTGTTCCTATTCACATTGTAACTTCCAGTATCCAAAAATACCACTACAGTTTCTCTGGAATAAGCTCCAGGAAACTTGAGGTTCCAGGGAAGACAATCATTATAAAAACAGATCTGTTTTCTTACATCTTGTTTGTAGGCCTATAAATGCTGTTTTTCAGGTAAATTTGAAATTGTGACCCATTTTAATACTGGAGTGAATAAAAGCCTAGAGTGAATAAATCATGATACAAGTCACTACTTAGGCCAAAAAATTGTTTTCCTGTTAACAGCTGTCTATGTGAGAGTAGAAAAGGCGTATTTTCATAAAATAAGGTGTTAGTGTTATCTAAGAGGACTTAGAATTGAGCAGAGAAGGAACGAAGTAGACCAATTCCATTTTTGTTATCTGCACGTGTTTCTGGTAGCTGACTGCTGTGTTTCCTTTGTAGGCATTGTTAAGAATGGAAGAAGATACAGATCATGGAATGAGGTTTAGTTCCTTATGTTTCATTAATGATCATGTTGGATTTCAGGGCACTATAAAAGCCTCACCAAGTGACTTCATTGTTATTGAGATTGATGAACAGGGACAGTTAGTTAATAAGACCATTGATACATCTGTTAACGAGATTAGCAAAATACAACGTGAGTCAAATAATTGTGTCAAAAAATCAAGACTAAATATTCAAAACGTATCCTCTGAACACAGAAGTAATCAAAAAGTTGACACCTCGGATGGTGACCAAGATCATTTGTCTGGTTCAGAAAAAGAAGATACTGTCAATGATGTGACTTCTAAATGTGAAGAAGAAAAACTTGATTTATTAAGTTCCCTTTTAGATGAAAAAACTAATAAATCACTGGATCAGTTTGCCTGTGATATCAAAGAGATATGGGATTCAAAAACGGAGTTAATTGAACCATTTCGGGAATTCTCATTAGGTAGGATCCTTAATAAAAACCAAAGGGCTGTTTTACATAGTGCTGTGAAGCAGAAATTTCCTTTTTTAATAACTGTAGGAAAAAACAGTGAAATTGTTGTAAAACCAAATCTTGAGTATAAAGAACTCTGTCATTTGGTATCTGAAGAAGAAGCACTTGACTTTTTCAAATATTTGGATGCAAAGAAAGAAAATTCCAAGTTCACCTTTAAACCTGACGCAAACAAAGATCACAGGAAAGCTGTCCACCATTTTCTCAACAAGAAGTTTGGGAACCTTGTAGAAACAAAGTCTTTTCCTGAACAGAATCACAATGCTGGTAACCTAAACTTAGCGGTAACAGTAAGGTTTCGGGGAAAAGCACACAGGAATGGGAAAAGGTCTCTTCTTGGAGACCAGGAAGGAGAAGTAACGTACACAGGTAATTTATTAAATCATTTTCTTTGGTGAACTTCGTTGAATTTAAAATTGGTGAAAGGTGAAGAATTTTAATTAATAGACCTGGTTACAGAGATATTGTAAAGAATATATGGACCTATTATTTGGTAAAGATAAAGCCTTGCAATTTATCCCAAATGTGAAAATTAACTCAGGAAAATTACTCAGTAAAGATATTTGTAGTTAACATGGTCATAAATATGTAAAAAACCTGAAGCAGTTTTGCATTTGACTAGTTTTGATAGTAAATCTTTATGTTTTTAAAATAATCTGAATTAAAATGAGGTATTTGGAGATAAGAATGCATTTGTTTTACTTGGAGAGGTACAGGGGATACTCTAATCCAAAATAGAATAGGTGCCTCTGTGCAGGATGGGGACCTGCAGGTGCTCCCAAGATACGCTCATACTCTAGCACGCGTTGCGGTCACCCAGCAGTCTTGTGAAAACAGATTTTTGAGTCCTGTCCCAGTTTCATACTTGGGAGGGTTAGAGTGGGATTTCCCAAATTCCCCCAGGAAGCTTTTATTGTTGATCTGGGCAGTGCATTTTGAAAATTGCTGTTTCAGGGGCTGTGAGTAGCTCCTAGACTTTAACGAAACCGATGAAGTCCACAGCCGAGCTGAGCAGCATGATAGTAAAGCCCACGTGAAGGGGAGAGCGTTTCACACGGTCATGTTGTATGCATTTATGTAGCAGGCCATTGAAAAGTTGGCACACATGTACGTGGCATAGGAAAGGGACTGAGTGACATGGAGATTCTGTTTCAAGTGAGAAGTTTGCATCTTGGAGTTATGTGGGTTTGACTTAACATTCACAAAGACACAGAATTTCTTTTGCACTGCTTAGGACTGAGCTCAAGACTTGGTGCATGCAAAGCAAGCTAACACTGAACCATATCACTAACTCTTGTTTCTTAAAGAGGATTTCATCTAGCAGAGCCTGGCCTCAAACTCTGCCTTTCAGGTGCTGGGTCTGCAGGCATGCTTAACCACTTCTGATTTATGAAATCTTTAATATCCTTTTAAAAAATGTTATTTATTATTTTTATTTGTGTGAGTATATTGCCTGCATTTAGTAAGTGCACCTGTGTCAAGCAATGCCTGCGGAGGTCAGAAGAGGGCATCAGATCCCATGGAACTGGAGTTACAGATGGTTGTTAGCTGCAGTGTGGTTGCTGGGAACCAAATCTGGTTCCTCTGCAAGAGCAGCCAGTGCTCTTATCCACTGAACCATCTCTCTAGCCCCAAATCTTTAATATCTTTAAGGCTTAGCTTCCACAAATGTAGATGAGAAGAGTGATATTATGAATAATTCATTAGCAGTTTATAACTTTTGGATGTGCTTTAAAAAACACTTTCATAACTGGGCAAGGTGGTGCACACCTTTAATCACAGCACAGGCAGAATCAGAAGCAGGCAGATCTCTGTGAGATCAAGGCCAGCCTGGTCTATAGAGAGTTCCAGGCCAGCTGGGACTACAAGGAGACCCTATCTCAAAAACATGCTATCATAGTAAAGCCTTGCAATGATAGTCCAAGGACTAAATAAAAATAATTATAGTTAGTACTTTGTTATTACCTAGATTGTTAGCATATTTTTTTCTTCCTGGTAATTTCTGGTAAGTTGTGTGACTTGCCTTTTCCATGAGAAAGCTGTTAGTATAGAATCTGACCTAGCAGGCGTATAATAAATTAACATTTAACACATAAGCCTATTTTGAAGGAAAAGTAATGTTAGGTTTACATGTAGGAAGAAAGTGCTCTAAGTAGCTCTAGGACTTCCTGTTTTTTATGCTACTTGAACTTGTATCAGTAATTTGAGGTTTGGAAGCTTTTTATATGTTTGTTTAAATTAATTTTACTGAAGGAAGAATTAACAGTTCACTAAGGGGACAATATGAAGGTATTGGTGTAACTACCGGACAAAGAACAAGAGATAAAGATTTTGCTTAGGCAACCTTTTGTAAGAATCAAAATAGCTTCCCTCCCTCCCCGCCCCACCCTTTCCCTCTCCCACCTCTCCTACATAGATTTTTATGTAGTAAATTTGCTGCTCTTTAAATTGTTTCAAAATTTGTATTACACCAGATTTGCCATTCCTAAGTATATAATTTAATGGAATTAAGGCCTTTACATTGCTGTACAGTCATTACTACTGTTGGTCTCCTGACTGTGAACATTTTCCCAGTCTGGGCTTCATATCTGTTAAATAAAACCTCCTTCTGTTCAGTTCCTGGCAACTATCATTTTGCTTTATGTCTTGATTGACACTATTAATGTAGGTACTCTACTCCTACTCGTATAGTGGAGTTGGATGTATTTGTCCTTTGGTGAAGGGCTTATTTCACTTCACATGGTGTCTTCAAGGTTCATTCATATTGTATGCAGCATATGTTAGAATTTTCTTCCTCTTTAAAGTCTGAATAATGTTCCATTGTGTGCGCGCCACATTTTATTTATCCATTCGTCTGCCACTCTCTGACTGTAGTGAGTGTTTGCTGTGAATGTGGGCGTACAGATTCCTCCTCAGTGCGCTGTTCTCAGTTCTCTTTGGCTTGTCTTTGGAAGTGGAACTATTAGTTCATGTGGTGATTTTCCGTATTTAATTTTTTGAAGAACTGCCCTACCATTTTCTCCTTTTCTGAGGAGTTCTAAGAAGGAATTTTGGCATTTAATGACACTTCATGACATTTTCATTTTAGATGTTATATTTCCTGGCTCTGTAAGTTTCATTTTTTTCTCCCTGAGATCTCCAATTTCGTTCCTTAAAATGGTTATGCTTTTAATTTTTTAATTTTTTAATTTTTATGTGAGTTCATTATGGTTTATGCCCTTGGGTAGGGAGGGGGTAAATCGGGGAACTTACACAGGGACAAGCACTCTTGCACCTTGGCTCAGAGCCCGCCACATCAGATGCTCCCGAGGCCCAGCCCATAGTCTGCATTAACTTTTGCCCAGGCATCTTGGGCCCACAGTCTCTCCCAGGTTGGTAAATGCCCCCTCTCACATCCGTGTAGGTGAGGCGCCGGGGGCCACCTCTCTCCACACCCACTGCCAATGTGCGTTCCTCCTGGCTTGCAGCTTCTGCCCCAAGATAGCTCCCAGCAGCCCCCCAGTAGTTCCTCCTCCTCCACAGGCCCCACCCCTTGGAGGAACTAATAGCCTGGGGGACACTCCATTCATCCACTCTTACAATCTTCCTGTCAGTGTTCATGCTAAGGTCCCTGAGCCTTGGAGGGGGTGACAGATGTAGGGCGATCTCTCTTGTATCATGGTGAGATAGTGACTTCTTGGGTCTCCCCACTAATCATCTTTAGACCATGGCCACTGATCTATTTCAGTGGTGTTTCTTCTACCCGGAGAGAGGCCCGCTGTGAGTCTTTCAGGCCCAGGGAAGCAGAGGGAGGTGAGCTCTTTTAATTTTTGAGCCCGTTTTTAATAGGTCTTTAAAATATTTGTCTGCTAGTTCCATCTCTTTCATTTCTGGGTCCATATTGATTGATTGATTGATTAATTGATTGATTGATTGATTGATTGATTGATCTGGTTTTGGTCTTTTTGAGACAGGGTCTCCCCGTAGTCCCAATTGGCCTGGAACTTGCTATGTAGACCAGGTTGGCCTCTACCTCCCAAGGGCTGAGATTAAAGGTGTATGCCATCATGCCCAGCTTATTTATTTATTTTTATTTTTTATTTATTTTTATGTTTATGTATGTAAGTGCACCTGTGTCATGCAGTGCCCATGGAGGACAGAAGAGGGCATTAGATCCCCTGGAACTGGAGTTACAGATGGTTGTTAGCCACCACGTTGGTGCTGGGATTCAGACCTGGGTGTTCTACAATAATGGCCAGTGCTCTTAATCGCTGAACCATCTCTCCAGCCCTGTTGTTAGAGTACCAATAAGCCCCATATATTGAACTGGTACAGACTATGAAAATGTCTAGTCTGTTTGTTGAAGGACCCACTTTTCCAGTCTCACTGGTCAATTACCTGGTGATAGAACCACTCCCAGGAGGGCAGGGTCACCTTAAGTTATGCTAAATATGTGGGCGGATTTCCTGGTGTGTTAATGAGGTAGTGAATATTTCCTACCTGGAACTAGCACAAGCCCCTGCAGAACTTCCAGACCAGCCACAGTCAGGTAGGTCTTGAAAGTCTGTCCGCTTTCCTGAACTCTTCAGGAAGGTGTAATTTCTCCTTTTCTTCTTCATGCTTTCTTACTAACCATGCTTTCCTTAAGGCTTTGGGCTGTCCCTAGCATCTTGTGTTTCTTCACTTTTTCTCTAAAGCGTCCTTCTCCCAGCCATGCGTCTGTGAGTCAGCCCCCTATCTGACCTCCACGCAGGTTCTAAACCTGCATGGCTTCACGGCTTTCCTTCCTTCTTCCCACTATTCACCTCCTCAAGGCAGCTGCCAAGATACCCAACTCGCCTGCCCTGAGGATTTTTCTTTAAGATTCTAATAAAATTGTAAAAGCTTCCATTTGGGTCCATTCTTAAATTCTTTTATGAATGAGACTAAGAACGCTCTAGGGGACCCTCTTTCTCCCCGTTTCGCTGTGGGTCCATATTTACTGACAGATATTTATTTGGGTGTTTTGATTCTTTGCACATCTAATAATCTTTCTTATAGGCCCAAATCATGCAGTGAGCATTGGGGATGAGCAGTAGCCTACTGGCACAGCACTTGCCTCGTGGGCATGAGGCCCTGGGTTCTGTCACTCCTACTACTTAATAAACAAAAGGGAAACCATGTTGGGGTTAGATTGCTGGCCTGCCTTAGAACCTGAAAGGAATTTTCAGAATTCATTGCAATTTGAAGAATGAATGTAAATACCAGAAACCATAGGAAGCCTTCTGCTCTGTGTGAGTGGAAGTGGCACATAGAGGCCTGAACTGGGTTTGTATAAGACATGAAAGCCCAGTGGAAGAATTTGGATGTTTTACACGCATTTAATGGGTCACAAATACTTTTCAAAAGACAGCTAAAGTCTTGAACACCAATTTTGTGTTTTCGTTGTACCCCATCCACTGGACCCCAAAAAGACCACCGAGGACCCAACACACCAAAATGCAAAAGCAAAGGTTTATGGTTTATTCAGGCTTAAGCTCAGGCTCTCAGACCTCACCAACTCAACGGATCCGTGCTGAGAGCCCAGAGTAAGGGAGAGTGGAGCCTTTTATAGGTTTTAGACAAAAGGGTTGCGGGGGAGATACCAAAGATACATTTTGGTTGGTTAAAGGAGCCCGTGCGCGCCAAAATAATTTTAAACTGGTTGGATGTATAAGATGCAACCCTGGAAGTTTCTTATTGGTAGGTGCTACTCTCAGGGCTGTGGAATGGGCTGTTACCTGTGGGGCCAGGAGTCTCTGTTTTTACCTTATAGGGCAGTTTTTGTGCTCGGGCTTGCTTAATCTATAGTTTCCTGGAAGGGGGGTGGGGAATAGCAGGCGGGGGTCAGGGCATGCCAGGGTATGTCTAGGCATGTCTAAAGCAGCAGCCAAGCATTTTACAGAAGCTAAAAGAGCAATTAGTGGGGGTCTGGAGGGATTGGGGGGTAGTGGGTGAATGAAGAGGGTCTCAGGGTTCTACATTTTCATTCAGAAACACTTTAAAGCCAGGCGTACTGGTACACACTTTAATCCCAGCTCTTGGAGGCAAAGACAGGTAGATCTCAGTGAGTCCAAGGCCAGCTTGGTCTACATTGTAAGTTCCAGTCCAGCCAGTGATATGTGAGACCCTATCTCAAAAAACTTAAGTAAAATAAAAAATTTAAAAACTCAATTATTTAACCTAATGAATAGATTCATTATCCTGATCTCTTAGTTTGCTTGGAATGTATCTGATATGCGGTGGCTGCTTTTTGTAATCTAGGATTGTTTCTGTTTCAGCTTTTACCTTACAAAAGGAAAATCTGGAGATGTTTGAAGCAGTTGGATTTTTAGCTATCAAACTTGGTGTAATTCCTTCAGATTTTAGTTACGCAGGCCTTAAAGATAAGAAAGCCGTCACCTACCAAGCGATGGTTGTTAGAAAAGTGACTCCTGAGAGGTGAGCTCGGGCATTGCTTTCTAGTAAATAAGTATAGGGTTAAAAACTCAATATTGGAACCATCTTAACCTTATTGTCAATATCACTGAACTCTTATAGACCAAACAGCACATTCTGCAGTAATAACAGTCTTCCATGTATGTAAAATTGCATTGAAAATCAAGGAAGTTTGGGACTAGACAGATGACTCAGCTGTAACTTCCCCATTTCTAGAGGATCCAGCACCCTCTTCTGTCTTCCACTGGCACCTAAACACGTGGCATACATATACTCTCAGATACACACATACACATAAATAAACATTACTAATCTTGAAAGAAAATTTGGGAAATTTTAAGCTAGAAACTGACAAGTGGTAGATTTTAAATTGTCCAAATTGTTTATAAGTATCATATATTCAAATGTGCATGTTATTCAGGAAAATATACACATAAAATTTATAAATACTTTTGCTTAATTACTATAATACTTTATGCCTTTGTTATCATAGGCCCTTATATTTAAAATACTTTTATTAAGTAGCGTGCACAGCACTGAGATTTAACTTCTCTTCAGTGTAATTCAGCTCTAGCAGCATTTTTGCCGTTTTAAAAGAAATACTGTTCACAGAAGATTTAGAAGTTAGAAGGATGAGAGTATGTACTTCTGCAGTGGTCAGAAATGACTGCAGTAAAGATTTTAATCTACTTTTTTCAAGATATTTTTCAAAGTGTACCACATATGCATATACATATCACATAGACATTTATTCTATATTATATGAAAATCATACTGCATTTGTAATTTATTTTTTATTTATTTATTTATTTATTTATTTTGGTCTTTTTGAAACAGGGTCTTCCTGTAGCCCCAGCTGGCCTGGAACTCACTATGTAGACCAGGCTGGCCTTGAAGTCACAGAGATCCGCCTGCCTCTGCCTCCCAAATGCTGGGACTACAGGCGTGTGCCACCACGCCCAGCTGTAATTTATGTTTTTAAAATAATATGAGAATTTATGTCATGAAATTTTCAAAATAATTTCTGTAATATTGACTTAACAGGTCCCTATTTTAAGTTTTATTTATTATTTTTATTTTATGTGTATGAGTGTATTGCCTGCATGTTTATAAGTGCACCTGTGTCTGCCCCCGGAGGTCAGAAGAAGGCGCTGGAGTCCCTCTAGAACTGGAGTTACATGGTTGTTAGCCACCATGTGGGTACTAGGAATTGAACCCAGGTCCTCTGCAACAGCAGCCAGTGTTCTTAACCACTGAGCCATCTCTCCAGCCCCAACAGGTCCCTATTTTAAAGAATAGGGGTTCTACCAGTTTTTAGTTTAGTTTAGTTCTATCCAGTTTTAGTATTGTGTTTAATTATTCCTGTACTTAAATCTGCAAATTGTGAATACTTTAAACTTCAGAAAGCTGAATTCTAGATCAGAATTCATCCTAATTCGATGTAGTATTGATATTGTAATAATTAGTTATACATGATTTAAGTGTGCATTATGTGCAGGTAGGCGCTTCTCAGTCCTTCCATACAAGGAACAGAAGTGGCATGTGATTTTGATCTGTGGTCAGATATTAGACATTTAAGACAAAAGCTAGTTGTTAACAATCAAAACTCACAAATATTACTAGTTCCTAGGAAGAGAGATAACGTTGATTTGGCTCACAGGTAATTACTTTAAGTAACAGTAGTACTTTCGCAAATTTAAAATCCAGAAATATATTTAGAGGGACAGCAAACAGTCTACTTAATAAACAGACCATGTTTATAAAAACTAAATAAAATAGTTGTAAAGAAAAATTGATACTGACCTTTACATGACCTTAAAAATGTTTGCTACAAAAAGTGAAATCAGGGTTTTCAATGCTAATGGAGAACTGGAGGTTGAGTAGGAAAGTATTTAAAGCAAAATATTGGAAAATTCCCTGATGCTACTGGGTTTTGTTTTCGGTTAATGTTGATGGGAGAGAGACAGATGGGAAGTTGCAAACTTGGGACAGGAGGTAAGAACCACCGAGAGGTTCAGTCATTTGACTAAGATGTCAGAAGGCCTGGCATGCCTCAGAATGGCAGCGAGAGACAGGCTCCAGGTATGAAAGTCACCTTCTGAGCGTAATTGTTGAAATGGCATTAACCTTAGGATTTTCCAGAGTATTGTGCTTACATTTTGATAGGAGTTGCCTGGCAACTACCATTTTAAAACTTTATTTTATAATAAGTTTTATAATTATAACTATATAATTGTATATATTATATATTTATATATAAAACATCTTTGTATGTGTTTCAGAGATAGAGTCTTACTGTGTGGCCCTTGCTGGCCATGGAACTTCCTAGGTCGACCAGGCTGGCCTTGACCTCACAGTGATCCACCTGCCTTTGCCTTCTGAGTGCTGTGCCATCATGCCTGGCTAAATAGGTGTGTGCCATCAAGCCTGGGTAAATATATAAATTTTAAATTAACACTTAACTGACTGTATGGCTTATCACTTATAGGTTGAAAAGTATTCAAAAAGAAATTGAAAAGAAGAGAATGCATGTGTTTAATATTCGGTCTGTGGGTGATTCTCTTCGACTTGGTCAGCTCAAAGGAAATCACTTTGAAATTGTCATCAGAAATTTACAAAATAAAATTAATGATCCTGTAAGCCTGAGAGAGAGAGTTTTGGAGGCAATAGAAAATGTTAAGGTAAGAAAACACGTTCTTGAAATACATGATCTCTTGCTGAGACAAAAAAAATGAAATGTTTATTTTTTTGTAACTTTTATATGCATGTATAATTATTTTTGAGTGATAATTAGAGACATGTTGGCTTATTTTATTTTTCTTAATAGGTTTTTATATTAAAACAGAATAGAATTTAAAAAATACAGTGTATGCAGTTTCTTGGAAGAAGGGGATGGATTTCTACAAAAGGCTTTTCTCTAGCATCTTCCTTTGGACTGAATAGATTTTTACACAGGGAATTTACACTGGAAATTCTGTTCAGTAATTCTTTCCAGAAATCTTGGTAGATAGTTAAATTGCTTTTTAGAATTTTATTTGTTTTTTCTTTTCAATGTAATTTTGAATTTTCTTTAATGCATATGAATTATAAATCATATACATTTTATAAAAACTTTATTGAGAATTTCATACATGTGTATAAGGTGTTTTGATCAAATCCATACCCATTCCCTCCCTTCCAACATTACCCCCTCTGAAGAGGTAACCCTAAAATCTTTTAAGGATTAGATACAAGCTCCCAAATACTTTTAATATTTTTGGCCTTGGAACAGAGTATGTTGCCAAGAGGCCCAAGGACATTTTGACTTTTAGCCAAGAAACTGGCTACTTTTCTTTGGGGTCTTTTTACCCTAACTGCCTAGCCAGTTCCCACCTCCTATTCTTATCACACCATCCTCTGAAGGGGTTACCCAAATTGCCAATAGGGAATAGGGACGCAGACCACTCTGGCTTCTTCCATGCTGAACAGGGACACAGGGTGAGGCAATTGGCGTACCCCTTCAGTGGGTCTATCTAAAAGACTCCCAAATTGCATAACTCTTGTCTCTAAGGGAAGAAGAAAGTCATGAATAGGAGATGTGAATAAAGGCAAGAGTAATTCGCATTACAAGTTCTAGCCAAGGAACTAGAAAAAAAAAAGTCAGAACAGGGCAATTTTCAAATGTTCATATGAGATAAATATTTTATTATGTCTTATAGCAAAAGAAAAATATACTTAAGTTTTAAGTGATACCTACCAGGCCTTTAAATGTGCATGAACAACCATAGCCTTCAGTCTGATCATCTAGGTAGGGGTCAGCACATTTCTCTATAGAAGTCCATAATACATATTTTTGGCTTTATAGGCCTGTGGTTCCTGTGCAGTCAGTGAGCTGCCATTGTGTGGCAGTGGTCTAAACAATACATAGATGAGCGAACATGACTGTGTTCCAGCAGAGTTCATTAGTAAAACGAACACTGAGGCAAAGTTGACCTGTTGGCACTAGTTCCTCCCCCCCCACCTCCACCCCACCCCCACCAGCCTGGGAGCTTTAAAAACATTTCAATAGTCAGTTTCCACTTCTAAACCAATTTAAAATGGGTACTTGGGGGTACAGCCTCAGTGTTCTTTGGTAACTTTTCAATGATTCTGTTTTGTAGCCCACTGAGTATAAGTTACACTGGTTCAAGTTCCTCACCACAGAGGCCTTTTTACACTTTATAATTTTCTAATAGACTACAAAAAAGGCCTGGCATTTAGCTCTCTTCCAGTCAGGAAAACACTCTCCAACTAACGATCTTCTGAATTCAGCCTTCCATCTATATAAGAGTGATCTGGTCATATACTCTACGTTCTAGGGTTCTGTCTTTTTTCATGACTGATCTCACTAAAAATTTGACTTTTTTTTCCCCTCTGAAAACTGTTATTAAAATGATACCTCTTAAAAATGGAAGGGGTTTCTTTGAACTCAGATAGCGTTTATTACCAGTGTTTTATTAGTACTCATGAAGATACAGCTGCCTGTTGTGAAATGCTATTCCTAGCTTAGACAATTTTCTCTTTTTAAAATATTTTAAATCGTATTATCTTTGTGTGTGTATGCATGATGTGTGTACTCAGGTCATCGGGCTTGCATGGCAAGTGCTTTTTTACCCACTGAACCGTCTTGCTAGCCCTTAGACAACTTTCTGTGAATTCTCAGAGGAGAAAAAGAAATCGAGTAGCTGTGAAAACAAGGGGTCTTTGCTTTCAATTGAAATGAGTAAAAATAAGTAATTTCTGTAAGACTAAATCTCAAAATTTGTCTATCCAAGACGTTTTAGATCTTTAGCTGTTTCTGCATACCTCAGACTCACACTCTATTATCTATTTTAAATAAATTCTGAGCATGGAAGCAAGAGAAAAGGCAAGGAGTCTTTGAAGGGTTCTGTAGAGAGTTGTAGCTCTGGTCATTAGAAACCTTTGGTTATATGTAAGTACTATGGAGGGATGACTGTTCTGGTTATCCTAAGATCTGATGTCATTTTATTCAAATGTAAAATAACTTAAAAGAACCTAACTATGAGATTTATATAGGGAGTACTCACTTTCTCTGTACTGGAGAGTTTCATTTGTCAACTTGATACACCTGGGAAGAAGGAACCTCTGAGGGGGAATTTCCTCCGTCAGATTGGCCTGTGGGCATGTCTGTGAAGCATTTTCTTGATTATCATCGAGTGATGACCCAGGTCCCAGCCCACGTGGGTGGTGCCTCCCCTGGCCGGGTTATATAGGAAAGTAGAGTACAGGCCAGAGGAGCAAGCCAGTAAGTAGCGTGCTTCTGTGGTCTGTGTGTCCTGCCTCCAGGCTTTTGCCCTGCTCCTCTCCATGATGAACTGTAAACTGTAAGGTGAAATAAACCCTTCCTGCCACAGGTTGATTTTGTCAGTGTTCCTCCCTCCATCTCTCCCTCCCTTTGTAGCGTTCTTTGTAGCATTTATCATTATGCCGACATTAAGAGTGTGGTGAACTTGGAAGGCTCAAGTTCCCATAGCTATCTGTTAGAACGCCTGTCTCCCAGAACTATGCTGATGGCTCTCTCTTGTCCCCTCACCCTGTGCAGATGGAACTGCTCTGGGACCTTGTTTTTCTCCCACTATGTTCCCCATCAGGCCCCACCCATAACTTAAAATGATTTCTCCAGCTTCATTGTGGAAGTTCAACTTTGGCTCCACCCTTAATCTTGTGGGTTTGTTTTTAAATTTTTATTTTGTGTGTATGACTGTATTGCCTGCATGTAGGTAGGTGCACCCATGTTGTGCATTGCCAGTGGAGATGAGAAGAGGGCATTGGATCTGCTGGAACTGGAGTTACAGATGGCTGTTAGCTGCCATGTTGGTGGTTGTTAGCCGTCATGTGGGTGCTGGGAATCGAACTTGGGTTCTCTGCAAAAGCAGTCAGTGCTCCTACCGCTGAGCCATCTCTCCAGCCCTGCACCCTTAATCTTAACAGACCATCTGGCCTTTACATCCCTATAGCCCGAGCATCCGCCCCTACCAGGCCAGTGCATCCAGTGGGTGGGTGTGCTCTTTATATGTTAATTCTCAAGGTCCCACATTCATTCATTGTCTTTTTAGGTTGAGTACCAAACTGAGATAGGAAGGGAAATACCCTAGTCAGATGGAAGAGCACGTGATTTTGCTGAGGTTAATTTAAAGTCATTAGTCCAGATTATATCCATTAATGAAAGTCATTCCCACATTCTTCTTTCTTGATGTTTCACACTCACTAATTTCTTTAAAGGTTGCAATAGTCAATTGTAATTTTATAATTCTTCCCAGAAAGATGATAATTATAAAGCATCATGTCAAGATTCATGTACATCAAGAGGTGAATTTTATGTCCCTCCTTGGGAATCTAAGTACTGTGATGGCTTTAACAGCCAAAGTGACACTGTGGAATTTTCTTGGCTCGGGATCTAAGAAGCTGAGGTAACTGACAGAATAAGCAAGGCTCATGGGGTTGGAAAGGAAATGTGTATTTTGTTCCCACTGTCTCCCATCAGCAGAAGTCTCAAAACAGGAGAGAACTTGAGGGCAGGGATCAGATCCAGGTCTAGGGTGGGCAGCTTATCCCAGGATACTGCAGCTCTCTTGGTTGTAGACTTCAGGTCGTATAGACCAGGACCCTCTGTATTGTGAAGAGAAGGAACTTTTAAAGATTTCTTCACTGGACCTACGTGGTAACTTTGTTTCAGTTTGTTTTTTGAGATAGGGTATCACATCATGACCCAGGTTAACCTTAAACTCACTCTATAGTCCAGGCTGGCCCTGACTCTTAGCATTCTTTCATCTCTGCTTCCTGAGTGCCTCTGTGCTTACTTTCAATTTGCCTTCTTTTCCTCCTGCTGTTTAACTGTTTAGCATTTCCCAGACCCTTTGGCTCCTGTATGCATATCCCTGGTTACTGGATTTTTCAATTAAAATAAATATGAAGAAAAATACTTGATTATATCTTGGCACCCGTATTTATGAACTTCTTATTTATTATATTTATAGAATAAAGGTTTTGTGAATTACTATGGACCACAGAGATTTGGAAAGGGAAGGAAAATTCAGACGGACCAAATTGGACTGGCTTTGCTGAAGAGTGAAATGGTATGGAGATTCAGAATACAATCTTACCTACTTCATCATTTATACTTACTATGTAAGCCCCTTGTTTTCTTAACCCTAGTATATAGATGCATGTATGTGTGCATACGTGTACATGCACACACACATATCATATTTCACATCCTGGAACATTATTAGATAGTACTATATTCTTGGTATCATGTTCCAAGAAGGCTAACTACATGCAATGATCTTGTGTTTAATTTTTATTTGAGACGACATAGAATTGTCCAACACTCCTTAAATCCTTAGTAAACTGAATAAAAGAGTTATAGGTAGTGTAACCTACATTCCAGAAATCAGGTAACCCATTATATAAAAGGTCAAGTCCAGAGGCTAAAAGGGGAACAGCAAAATTGAAAAAAAAATGTGACAAGTCTAAAATGAACTTAAAAATGCATATCATAGCCGGGTGTGGTGGTGCACACTTACCCAGCACTCGGGAGGCAGAGGCAGGTGATCTCTGTGAGTTCAAGGCCAGCCTGGTCTCCATAATGAGTTCCAGGACAGCTGGGGCTACAGGGAGACCCTGTCTTAAAAAAGACAAAAAAAAAAGCGTATCATAAATAAGCTGTATTGCCCTACTTGAGTGCCACCATTTGTCATGGGTCTCTAAAAGGAGGCTGCCTGGTGTGCTGGACAGCTTTAGTGTCAACTTGACACACCTGGGTTGAGGGAGCCTCAACTGGGGAATTTCCTTCATTGGACTGGCTTGTGGCCATGTCCATGGGGCATCTTCTTGATTGTTGAGTGATGTGGGAGGGCCCAGCCCACTGTGGGTGGTGCCACCCCTGGGCAGGTGGGCCTGTGTTGCATAAGAAAGCAGGCTGAGCAGGGGCCAGGGAGCAAGCCAGTAAGCAGCATTCCTCCATGGCCTGTGCTCCAGCTCCTGCCTCCAGGTTCCTGCCCTGAGTTCCTACCTTGGGCTCCCTGATGAACTGTGTGTGACCTGGGAGATGTAAGCTGAATAAACCCTTTCCTCCCCAAGTTGGTAGTGGTCAGAGTGTTTTGTCACAGCACCAGAGAAACAAACTAGGACACCTAGTGTTCTTAAGGTTAGGTTTCCTTCTTTGTAAACTGGAGTTAACACAGGTGGTGCTTTTTGTGAGAAGTATGAAATAGCTCTTGGAGAGATACCCAGTGCACTGCCGAGCCACAGGAGGTAATTACCCAAGTGTGTGTGGCTTATCAGTTAATGCTGTAGTTTTCCAAGGGTAGAAGAAATTCAAGGGGTCAAGTTGCAGTCCACTGGAAGAGACTTCTATTCCAGAGGAATAGGATTCTTATGAAAAAGAAACTTCCTGTTTCTCATAACATTTAAACCAAAGCTGAAGCTGCCTACCATCTTCAAACTTCGTATTTCATGCCCCTGAATTTAAAAAATTAACAGAGCTAACTAGTTATTAATTACCACTGTGCAGCAAATTACCCCAAACCTAAGTGGCCTCGGAAACAAGTGTTTACTATTCAATCATTTCTTGAAAGCCGGGCCCCTGAGCGGCTTGGCGGGGCAGTTGTGGATCAGGTCTTCCATGAGGTTGTAGGCAAGTGGGGGTAGAGGTCGCTTCCAGGGTCGCTCTCATGGCCGTGGCTGGAGAACTTCAGCCTCTGCTGTAGGACAGGACTGAGGACGGACGTGGCTTCCCTCAGACAAGGGTCCAAGGGCATTAGAGTGAGGGAAGAGTGGCCGAAACTGCCTCACATTTCATAATCCTGTTTCAGAAGTGGTGTGCTTTACCCGTGCTACACTCTCCTGCTCACACACCAACCCCGGTACACGGAGGAAAGGACTGTGGCAGACATGGGTACCACGGGAGAGGATCATTAGGAGCCACCTTTGAGGCAGGTTCATGTACTTGGCAAATCTCATCTTTGTTTTCTTAAAGTACTCCCTCCTTAATCTTTACATTTTGCATTTCAATTTAAATGTCATTCTTATCTCACTGACAAAGGAAAACATTAATTCACTTATGTTGTAGTCCTGGACTTCCTATTCTGAGTTTTACTATTTTGTTGTGATCATCCTATGGTGATTGCTTATTTGATTTTTTGCAGTCTATAGTAGGCCTGGGGTTTACCTCTCTTGTCCCACACAGTAGCAGCAAGTACCAGATGCAGCTCGAGGGAGTCAGTTCTGTTCTTCCACCGTGTGGGTCCCGAGGACTGAATTCAGATCATCAGGCTTGATGGCACGCCCCTTAACCCACTGAGCCATCTTGCCAGTCCTCAATGGTTTTAGGACCCCAAGTTTAGAGAATTGAAGAACGCAGCGAAGTTAATGGCCACGTTCCCTCGCACTTGCTTCACCCATTTGTGTGTGTGTGTGTGTTGGTCAAGTCTGAGTATTTAGGTCATTGCTTTAGCCTGTGTTTCTGTCTCAGCCAACTAAGGAACAAGGGAAGTAAAATTATGGAAGTGACTGGGGAGGGGCATTATTATCCAGGCTAATCTTTTTGAATTATGCATATTGTGATTTTGTGTAGAAGGTTTATTTCTACATGTAAAATTGATTAACCGTCGCAAGTCTAAGGAAGCATTTGCAGCATCAAATATCATTTATTAAACCTGTTCTTTCAGGATGCCCAGGAATTTGCATCTTTTTAAAGTATTTTGACATTTTTAACATGTTTATTTGCTTAACTTTCAAGGTAAAGGCCATAAAATTATTTCTTACACCAGAAGATGTGGATGATCCTGTAAATAAAGCAAAGAAATATTTTCTTGACACTGGTATGTAAGCCTCTTTGCCGCCCGTAGAGCGGTATAGATGCAGAGTACAAATGTCCTGTTAGCAGAGGGGCGCTCCTTAATGTACCTTCCTTCCCGAACAGCACTGGATTACACTTAGAATTGCTTTAGTGCCTGACACAGGTACTTCTTTTGGCCAGATTGCTGGGACTTTTGTCTGTTTTAATTGTTCCTTGGGGTCAGGGGAGAGGAGAGATGCAGTTTCTTAGTTTGCAGAAGGAGCCCCATACTAGAGTCTAAACTGCCACTGGTGGCAGCAGAATTCTACAACCAGAGGAGTCTCAAACTAAGTGAAATCTCCTTTGTGACAGTATCTACTTTAGGAATTGTTTTGTAGTGTGGTGGTGTATGTATAGCATTCTTCATGGAAGACACTAAAGCAAAGTGATTCTGAATTCATCTACCGGTAAAGTTCATGGCTTTACTTTCCTTGTGAGTATTTGTTTCTGTTGTGGGATCTGAGAAGATAATTTCCTCATGTCAAAGATTCCTAAACTTGAGTGTACTTGAGAACACTGTGTTCATTAAATGCCCTATGTAGGCCCTCCATCAATAAGCATCTTTAGAGCCCAGTAGTCTGCAATTAAAAAGCATCCCGTTGGCAAGTTGCCTCGTTCCTAGTAGTATACCGGGAAGCCCACAGGTCACCACTATTTATTCATCTGAATTCTGTTGTATGTTTAGAAACTCCTAGCCCTCACCACCTTAGAGGTTCATTTGATCCTTGGTGATCTGTCCTTGTTTTCTGTTTGGACAGTCCTGACTAACTCTCTTCTGAAGGAAAGCCTCTGGCAAGCCATTCCAAATGCTGGGCTTGTTTGCCATGTTTTATTTTTCAAGGGAAATGAAGTTTAAAAAAAAAGTGTCTTATGTGTGATTGTGATTGGGGCTTCGCCATGGTGCTCAGCACCTCCACATTTTGACTGCCTCTCATTTAGACAACATACGAAAGGCCTCCCAGGCTGGAGAGATGGCTCAGCAGTTAAAAGCACTGGCTGTTCTTGCAGAGGACCCAGGTTCAAATCACAGCACCCACATGGCAGCTAACAACCAACTGTAATTTTAGTTCCAGGGGATCTGACACCCTCCTCTGACTTCTGTGGACACTGCACAGCACAGGTGCACTTACATATATGCAGGCATAACACTTATAAACATAAAATAAAAATAAATAAAAATTTTTAAAAAAGGCCTCTCACGAGTGGCTTTGCAGTGGAAGTGGCTGACTCGCTGGTTTGTTCTTCATTTCAGAGGATGCTAAAGGCACGCTTTCCCAGATGCCCGAGTTCAGAGTCCGGGAGCGAGCCCTGCTGGAGTCCTTGCACCGCTTTGGCGTGGCAGAGGAGGGCTGCACCCGGGCGTGGCTCTCCTTGCCTCATTCCATGCGCATTTTCTACATCCATGCCTATAGCAGCAGGGTTTGGAACAAGGCTGCATCCTACAGGCTCAGAACCTATGGAACCAAAGTAGTGGAGGGGGATCTGGTCTGTTTGGATAAGGATGTTGATGAGCAATTTCCAAGTAGTAAAGTGAGTATTTATCAAGCGCAAGCACTTCTCACGCCTGGGGCATTAATTGCAGAAGCCCAGATTTTGGAAACACTTTAAAGCAAAACATATTTATTTTGCTTATGTTTATTCCTCTCCTTTTTTGACTTCTCTGACAGCTGAGGATTAACACATGTTGGTAAGTGGAAAAATAGTCCCTGATACGGAACCAAAGCAGTAAAACTCTTTGAAAGACCACACTTTATAAAAGCCTGTGCAGGTAATGCCAGAGTAGTTTTCTTAACACCAGGAATCAAGAGCAGCGTCCAGGCTGCCGTCCCTACTGCCACCCAGGTCTCATCCCCTCCCTCACCCCCAGAGACTCTGTCTTTGTTGCGCCCTTCAACTCTCTACACTTTCATGTGAATGTGGACAGAAAATGTGTTCATTTATTGTTAATACTAAGAAATGAAAAGACAGGAATAAGATGTAAAACTTAAAAGACTAAAAGTTTTATAATAATGTTATAAGGATACAGAATGTTGTATTTCATTCCATAAATGTGGTTTTTATGGGGCTGGAGAGGTGGCTCAGTGATTAAGAGCGCTGGCTGCCCTTTCAGAGGACCTGGGTTCAGTTCTCAGCATTCACATAACAGTTAACAGTAACCCCAGTTCCAGGGATCCGATGCCCTCTTCTGACGTCTGAAGGCACTGCACAACATAGATGCACTTACACACATGCAGGCAATAATCTCATACACATAAAAATAAAAATAACAAAATGTTTTTTAAGTGTGGTTTTATATAAATGATTCTTATGACCTATTAATGAAATTGTACATGATTGATATGGGAATATCAGGGTATCTGAGAGCTGCGGAGCCAATCTCCACTCTGTTGTGCTTAGCTTGAGAGGCTCGGGTCCCAAAACAGCAACCTCCAAAGCCACCTCAAATCAGAGGCTTTTGGGTTCTTACCACATAAACTGAAAAAAATTAAATTCACAGACCACAGAGGGTGAGTTTTAGAAAGAAGTGTTTTATTGTAGGAGCTTGTATGGAGTGAATACCCCTTGAGTTTCATTGCTCAGGCATTAATAAGGGTTTAGTAGAGGGAAGAGAGGAGGCAGAGATGAGTGGTCAGTCCATTTCTCATTCCAGGTGTCCAGGTCCTTCAAGGTCACATCCTCAATGTGGATTCCAGGAACAGGGTACTCGTTTAGGGAAAAGAGAGAGGGGGAAAACAGGACAAAACCAGACCCCCTGTCTGGCATCTTTGGCCACAAGTAACTGGCAGGTCCAAGGACTTTTCCAGTTCTTGGCCAAGAAGTAAACTGCTCACTTTTCTTTTGAATTTTTTCTTTTTTACACTAAAGTGCATAAGCAATTTCTACCTCCTGTTTTAAAAGTTGCTCCTTTCATTTCCTCCCTGTCTAACTAGTATTTTTATGTCTGTTGGTTTGAACTAATTAGTGAACCTGAATTCCACAAGTCTTGTAAGAAAACTCACATACTGTTGCAATACAAAATGCGTAAATAATTGCTCTCTGGCATTATCTTAAGTCAGTCCCCAAACATTTTAAAAGTTAGAGCAAGGCATGGAATGGTGTTTCCATATGTGCGTCGTGGAGTCACTGAATTTTAGAGGCGCAGAGGGTGTAGGAACTCTGTTTTTAACTCCCATTTTTTAGAAACGAGCCAATTCTCATTTCTCTTAGTAGGCCCAGATCGGAAAGCAAAGATTCAGAATCACAGATGTAGGCAACTGATAAGACCCCACAGCCTGTGTGAGCCTCTTCTGGAGGAACCAAAGTGTAGGAAATTCACCAGCTTCTAGAGTTGGGTCACAGCCCATCCTTTCAGCACTGGAGGAGAAATAAGACTCTGAGCTCTGTATAAAGAAAGCTTTATCTAGATTAGTGATGGAAGTCTCCATGGATGAAGCAAGGCTTTTTGGTTTAAGTAATAGACATCTGCCTCAAAGTAAAGGGAAAAAAACAACACGAATTTATTGGTCCTTGTGACTGAAAACCCAGGATTTATTTGGGTACAGCTGTGTCTACAAACTTAAGTATTATCCTAGATAGTTTATCACATTGTTTAATTAATGTTAAAGCTATTTCTCATGGTGCTAATCCATTTCCCGTCTGGCTGATACTTTTGGTGGCAAGATGGCTATCAGCTCCTCACTTACTTCTCACAGCCCTAGACATAGTACTCTGCAGGAAAAAAGGCTTTTCTTTCCCATCAGTGTCAACACAAGCCCTGGAATTGAGTCTGCCTGGGAATAATCTGGCCTATGTCACAGGTCCAGACCAAATCACTGGTATGGATTGGAGTGTGATTGGCAGGCTTGTACTCCAAGGGCCCACTGCTAGGACCGTCCTTCCTCACAGCTGAGAACTCAGAGGAGGGCCCTGGAAGGTGAGGGTCTGCGATCAGAAGGGAGGAGTAAAGGGTGTACAAGCCAGACAACAGGTGTCTGCCTTACTGTTTCAGTAAATGGCTGATTTTGGAGTGTTCAGAGAGGGATCTCGAAGAGACAGCATAGTTCATTAAGAATGGGCATTTCCTTAAGACCCAGACAGGAAAAATTACCATAGGTTCTGTTTCATAGCATGTGGGGCAGATATGTCAGTAATCTGATAAATAATGAAAAGTTAAAAAAAAGGTTAAAAAAAAAAACCTTCAGAAATCAGATCCATTTAAATAATAGGGCATCACAGCATTTGGGGAGTCAGCCATTCACAATTTAGATTTAAGTTCCTTTCATAAGACGAACAAACTATTAAATGTATGTGTTTTATAAGACTTCCCATTCAAAATCATATTTGCAAGGGTAGATTTGTGATCAGAGTTGTGTCTTTTGGAGCTATAGGAAAAGCAAGAACTTTTTCTCATTCATTGTCTTGCAATTTCCTTTTACTAGCAGCAAACCAAAAAAAGCCAGTATTTTAAGTCTCATTAATTACACCTCATTTCAGGAGAAAATAGTCAACACATAGGAATATGGGAATGCCATCAGTCCTCTGGAAAGATGGTAGCTGCCTTTATAGTTTCTCAAAGAAGCTAGAATTGTGCATTGTCTGGTGTTGTGGAGCAGAGTTCCTAGACTTTATGCATCTGGCCCCTCATTCCTTCCCCTCATGCTCCCGGTGCCCAGCACTGTTTTCCCCCCTAGGGAGGGGGACTGGCGGGGTCAGGAGGCTCGCTTCAGATGCAGAGCGTTGTTACAGCTCTTTGACGAGCAGCCTTGTCATGGAGAGGTGCCGGTGACTGAAGAATGCAGCCTCAGCGTCGCCCCGGCCTTGAGTTCTGCTTGGTTGTGAGTGGTTATTGCCGGAATTGGTCTAGTTTTTACCTCACGTACTTCTCTAGAGACAGTTATGATGAAAAGACTTTGCTTCAATGTGTATATTCAGCATACAAATCTAATTATATACATCAGGGTCAGGAAGCATTGAGGTAACTTGAAAAAGTGAAAATCACTCATTTTGATCAAATATTTTATAAAACTAGGTTCATCTGGTGACCGAAGAAGAGGAATTGGCTGACACATACTCAATGCACCAGGTAAATTTGCTTAAAACTTACTATCACTTAGATTTTTAAAAATTCCACCTAAAACAAATTTGACCCTTTTATGTAGCTTTTAAATTAAGTTGCAATTTGTATCTAAATAATTTAACTTATACTTCCACAAGCTGTTATGAACATATACAGTCATGTGTGCACTATAGATTTCAACATAAAGAATAGTTTCATATCTTCCCCAAGTTTCCCTGTGCTCTTTTGTAGTTCATTCTGTGAACTCCACTGCCAGCCCCTAGGAACCATTGATGTATTTGCTGTCACTGTGTTTTTACATTTGAAAAAATATCATGAATGGCATCACACAGCATATAGTTTTTTGGGAGTCTGTATTCAGCTTGTAAAACTGGGTTGCCACCCCATGACTGAATGTCGGGGTCATGGAAAATTTCACCACGGTCCAAGTTGCACAGTGACCCAGAATTAGTTGAAAGCCAAGGTGATGGAGCCAGGTGTGCCTAGCCACACTCACTGCTGTGCCATGACTTTACCGTGGACTTGGCTCTGAACAGCACTTAGCACCATGCGTGCTGCCCCCTCAGTGCAGGCTCAGGACTTGCATATCAGGAATTGCAGTGGTTTTATTGTACATACAAAGTGTTCTGTTCTTAATGAAACATAATGTTTACTTATGGGAAACAAAACTTAATGTTCTCCTAGCATCATTGCTCAGCATATATCAAATTAATATGTGTTTGGGTTGTATTGTGCCAGAGTACTTGATTTTAAAAAATTACCGTTTCAGTTGATGACTTGGGTGTTGTAAAAGATGGTTAAATGGGTTTGGACTTGGGATTAGGACAGAATTTCTAACAGCTTCTGAAATGACTCTTAAGTGTATTCCTGCCATTTTTCCTATATGTTTATGTGAAGTGACCTTTTCAACATTGATGATTAGAAAATCAAAATATCAGTCAACTCTAGAAAATATTGAAAGTTGTCTACATCCTACGGTTCCAAATTTTCAGCCAAGATTTAATTTTTCTTAGAAAAATAGACTAGCATATCCACCTCAGTATACAAGATTGCTTTTGTCTTTAATAAATGGCAGTCATGTGTATACCAAAGAATTATTTTTAAGCAAATTAATTTATTATTATCAATAAATGTTTGATTTTGTTTATTTGTTTGTTGAGACAGGGTCTCCCTCTAGCCCTAACTGACCTGGAACTTGCTATGTAGACCAATCTGGCCTCGATCTCAGAGAGATCCACCTGCCTCTGCCTCCCGAATGCTGGGATTAAAGGTGTGTGCCACCACGCCGGCTGAAAAGTGTTTGATTTTTATACCTATTTCTATATCTATCTATAATATATACCTAGGGTCATGTAAAAATTTCTTGGGCAAAAAGGCTCACTCGTGGGTAAAGTTTAAGAAGCCCCACTGTGTCCTGCATGGATTTTTGCTCATCCTCCTGCCTCAGCCAGTGCTGACGCAAGGCCTTTTGTGTCTGGCTTCTTTTACTTAGCGTAGTGATTTACGTAACAGATTCATTCATGCTTGTGACTATCTGAGAGCTTTGTCTCTGTGTTCAAGCATGTTGTCTCACAGTCATCAGAGGATCCCTGCAGAGCTCAGTGTGTACTCACACAGCTGCAAAAAGAGACGTTTGTTGTTACTTACTTGCTTTGTTGTTTTTAGTAAGAGTAACTTAAAATTGTCACCCAGAATATTGTGATTAAGCAGTAGAGACAGCTCTGTTTAGTGGAGAATATGCTTTTTAAGGGATTTTTAAGGGATTTAGCCATATTGGAAAATTAAATGTACTACATATTGAACTGTGGTTTGTCAGGGGCATCTGACGTGAGCTGGTTACCTGCTCTTCTGAGTCCTTGATTGGTTGGTTCTTTTCTTTACCTGATAGCATTAAAAATATAGTATATATTCATAGTGTTTTTACAGATCTGGGTCCTAATCATAAAAGTGTGATCACAAATCTTTCCCAAGGCTGTCTCATGTGGTGTTGCTGTTTTGTTTCCTGCTAATCCCCAGGTGGTTCTACCTGTACTTGGATACAACATTCAGTACCCGAAGAACAAAGTAGGGCAGTGGTACCAAGAAACACTTAATAGAGATGGACTGAGGACATGTCGGTTTAAGCTTCCTGCTCTGAAACTGAATGTCCCAGGATGCTACAGACACATCTTGAAACATCCCCACCACCTCTCCTACCGGCTCTTAGCCCCTGATGCTGATGCTAAGGTCGAAGCCCCCCACACTGATGAGACAGCGTCATCTCTTTTCATCTCTTTTGACCTTGATGCTTCCTGTTATGCTACAGTTTGTCTGAGAGAAATGATGAAGCACAACATCTAAACTAGCACCCTCAATGAAGTCGGCATAAGGACCACTCCAGGAAGAGGCAGCAGCATCTCCAGAACATCTACCACAAGCTTTGTAATTGTCTTTAAATTCCACAGTAGCCTGAGAAATTGGAGTTTGGTGTTTTCGTGTTCCAAGGGATATGTAGCAGTAAATGTCAATGTCATCATTTAAATCTCTGTGACTTTAAAAGCCATATTTCGGTGACTTTTATTCTAGTCACAAATGTTATAATCTTTTTAGACTTCGAGGAACATTTGCTACTGCAAGATAACATTTAAGAGAAACATTGTGAAATAACGTTTTCTACAGCTCCGCCTGAGGTAAAATGAAATGACAGTGACTCCCGGTGGTGAAGATGAGCGGAACGGTTCAATGCCGCTGCTGTCCCTTTCTGGTTTTGAAATTGCTGATGGCAGAAATACACAAGGGAAATGTCATCCGTCTTCATGATGACTTTTTTTTGAGATAAGCTTTGAAGAAGATTAAAATAAATTTTTTCATATAAATTTTGTGCCTTGTCCCCTGACTTTGTCCTATATTTTCTGTTATCTGAAACTCAGATTTTAGACTCGGATTCGTGCTCAGACGCCATCTCTCACATATATCTGTGATGTTGGAGATGGTACTGATTCTTTTTTAAAATAATGACTATCGACTTACCACTGAATTATCTCCATACTTCATGCTAGAAAAAGAAAGCCTTTTTCTCACTTGGAAATCCTGTTGTTGGTTGATTTACTTTCACTGTCCCATGCTCAGACTTTCAGCTCGGGTGGGGTGGCATGTGTCTATGGGGAGCATCTCAACCAGGCACCATTTCATTGCTGGTTACATTGTGATGAATTGTAAAAGCTGTATGGAATATCACACATCAACAGTGAGGAACGTTTCCACACTTCTGCCAGCCTAACCATCGTCCTGATCCCAAGCCCTGGGTCTGCTTCTCACAGCATCCCAGACACACTGCTTATGCTCCTGTGCTTTCCTTCCAACATTTGCAGAGTGAGGGTGTTAGTACATGTATTACTGTGGAGGGGTGATGTGAGGATCTATCAGGTAACGTAAGGAAGGTAGGTTTAAGGAGGGCCTGGCGCTTCTGCTTAATGTCTGCAGGTACAAAGTAGGAAGAGAGAAGGAAGAGCATTCTGTTAGGACTACGGGCATTTGACACGAGAGTTCTTTTTTGGCATTACATAACATCTTGGTCACCTTACTGTTGCGCTGACACAGCGACTTAAGGGAGCAGGTTTATTCTGGCTTGCAGTTCCAAGGTACAGCTCATCTGGGCAAGGAGGTTATGGCAACAGGAGCCTGAGGGAGCTGGTCAAGTTGAGTCCACAGTCGGGAAGCAGGAGTGATGGGCTCTTGTGCTCAGCTCACATTCTCCTTTCTGTACAGTCCAGGGTCTCAGCCCAGGTAGTGGCACCACCTGCAGTCCTGAGTCTTCCGACCTCCACTAACCCAGTCTAGATAGTTCCTCTCAGGCCTGCGCAGAGGCTTGTCCTCTGGGTGAATCTAGATCTCAGCAGGTTGACAGCTGAGATTAGCCATCATACTGCTATAGCAATAAATCCCAGAGTACACAAACTAGATATGACAGTCCGTTGACTTAAAAATTACTTTTGCAGTTTTAATGTTTATTGAGAATGAAGGGATGCTCTATTAGGTAGTAAAAAAAAGTTTAGAGAAAATTAACATTGTAAGGTAAATTTTACCTTGTAAAATAAATCACAAAATACAAATGTTAAATTTGGTTTTCTTTTAAATAGTAAATAGCAACTAGGAAATATAAAAGCATTGAAATGTACTATCAGTCTTCTCTTCTTGGCCTGTAGATGGCACTGCAGCCATAGCTATCTTGTTTAGTAAAAAACGTCTTATATCTGAGCAGCACTTTTTGGTTAGGAACATCACCAATGAGAAACAATTGTCTAAATAACTTTTTATATAGACTTAAGCCTAATGTCTGGGAAGTGTAATCCCATAAACTCTTAAAAGAAGTATTCTGATGACTTTACTCTTTGGTTATACTTTCCTTTTGGGTGTTTAAGACCATACAGTTGGCCCAAATAAATCCATTTATTTTTACACTTAAGATTGTTTGAGGATCTGTTCCTCAGGGGTCACATGGGCTCGGGAGGAGCCCCTGGCTCCCTTTTACCAGTTCTGCCTATGTGAAGATAAGTCAAAGGTCCTGTTCGACCATATCTGCCTTCATTTGGAAGCATGGAGGAAATGTTTCCTCTGTGTTGACCCTCCTCTTTGTAGTCTGGACACTGGTTCAAGTCCATCTCATGGGGTCTCCATGTCCTCCCTGAACAAGAAGACAGGTGACTCACCATAGTTACAGGATATTTTGAGAGATGTTCCATAATCCCCTGGAACTTAGTCAACCTTGGAAGGCAAGGGGCAAAAACTGTCCTTTAAGTCCCTCTGACCACATTAGGATAGGCCTCAAACTATGGCTGTTAAACATCCAATAAGCTTAGTTCCACCAGTTTGGTACTTTTAATTATCATGTGCTATGTAGATAAGGCTTGGGTAAAAAACCAAATATTCTCAGATAAACCTTGACTAGATATATATTTTGTTTTAAATTAGTTGGCTAAACTATGACCATAGACATTGAAGATTATGTGTATATTATTTTTGTTTCATCCTTTATATATCATAACAAACCTAAACAGACCTTCATCACTTGCTTAGGCTTTCTCATTTTTCTGTCTATTTTGGAAACTATTTCCATTGCCATATCCTTATAACATCTTTTACATTCTCATTTTCTTTCTTTTTTTTTTTTGGTCTTTGAACTCACAGAGATCTGCCTGCCTCTACCTCCCAAGTGCTGGGATTAAAGGCGTGCACCACCACGCCTGGCCCTTCTCTTTAAAAAAAAAAAAAAAAAGTGATGAGAGATAATAGCACTAACAAATTTTCCATCTGTTGTGAAATTTCTTTTCTTGGGGATGCTAAGCAATGCATAATCCCTTTTAAGGTTTTAGTGTCCAGCCAATGTTTGATTAAAGTTTTACTGGGGAATCAATGAATTTATTGAGCTTAGTTACCAAAATAACTGAGGGGTTGCTGAGGTGTATGTATGACCTGAGGGTATGCACTCTGGAAAGCTTTTACACAGCATGGGTCATTCCTTCTCTTCCTAGCCATCCCCAGATTCTATACTTTAGCCCTCCCCAAATCCAGGAGAACATGTGTGATTAGGGCCAAATTACATACAGTTGGCTGGGAAGAGTGGGTGGATAATCTGGTGAGGGTCCAATGACCCTGCTTGGCCCTCCATTAATGAATGAGCATAACCATCAACAAGTCCAATTGTGACAATGTTTAGCAAAGCTCAGCTGAAGTCATGATGATGGTAGTGGTTTCATGCAGAAGGGACTGCTGTATGGCATCATCTTATTAAAAGGACCTGGAATTTAAAAGGATTTGTAGCTAGGATCCACATGTGAAGGAGAACATATGTCCTTTGTTTTTGAGTCTGTGTTACTTCACTTAGTATAACAGTTTCTAGATCCATCCATTTACCTGCAATTTTCATTATTTCATCTTTCTTTATTGCTGAATAGAACTCCATTATGTAAATATACCACATTTTTGTTAACCACTCATCAGTTGAGGGACACTTAGGTTGCTTCCATCTCTTAACTATTATGAAAAGAGCAGCAACAAATATGATTGTACAAGGGTTTCTACACTAGGATGAGTCCTTTGGATATATACCAAGGAGTGGTATAACTGGGTCATATGATAGGTTCATTTTTATTTTTTATTTATTTTTTTGAGACAGGGTCTTCCTGTAGCCCCAAATGTCCTGGAACTCACTTATGTAGACCAGACTGGCCTTGAACTCACAGAGATCTGCCTGCCTCTGCCTCCCAAGTGCTGGGACTACAGGTGTGCGTGACCACGCCCAGCCATTTTTAGTTTTTTAAGAGTTCTCTACAGTCTTTTCCATAGAGGTTGCATGAGTTTGGAATCCCACCAGTAGTGAATGAGCATCCCCCTTTCTCCACATCTTTGCCAGCATTTGGTATCATTTGTTCTCTTGATCTTAGCCAGCCTGATTGGGGTAAGGTGAAACCTTAGGGTGGTTTTAATTTGCATTTCCCTAATTACCGATGATGGTGAACACTTTTTGAGATGTTTCTTAGTCATCTTTAGTTCATTTGAGAACTCTGTTTAGATCTTTAGCCCATCTTTTAATTGGGTCATTTTGTTTCTCAATTCTTTTTTTTTTTTCAGTTCTTTATATATTCTGGATGTTAGACGTCTGTCAGATGAGTCACTGATGAAGATTTTTTTTCCCATTCTGTGGGTTTTCTCTTCACCTTTTGGATTGTTTCTTTTGCTGTACAGAAGCTTTTTAGTTTAATGAGGTCCCACTTATTGATTGCTGACCTTAATTCCTGAGGAAAGGTGTAGGAAAATCCTTTCCTACACCTCTATCTTGTTAAGTTACTGCCAATATTTTCTTCTAATAGTTTCATGGTTTGCAGTTTCACATTGAGGTCTTTGATCCATTTGGAGTTGACTTTTGTGCAAGGTGAAAGATAAGGTTCTAGTTTCATTCTTCTACAGGTGGAGATCCAGTTTTGCCAGCACCATTTGTTAAAGATGCTGCCTTTCCTCCATCGTGTGTTCTTGGCACCTTTGTCAAATATTAAGTGACTAAATTGCATGTACTCAGGTTTGGATTTTCAGTGATGCTCCATTGATCTATGTGTCTATTTTTGTGCCAGTACCATGCTGTTTTTAAGATTATAGCTCTGTAGTATACTTTGAGATATGGTATAGTAATCCCCCCAGTGTTGCTCTTTGTGCTCAGGGTTGCTTTGGCTATCTGGGGTCTTTTGTGCTTCCATATGAATTTAAGGATTTTTTTTTTCTACTTCTGTGAAGTATGTCATTGGGATTTTGATTGGAAATGCATTGAATCTATATATTGATTTTAGTAGGATGGTCATTTTCACAATATTAATTCTTCCAATCCATGAACATGGGAGATCCTTCCATCTTTAAAAATTTAAATCTCTTTCTTTAAAGATTTAAAATTTTCATTGTAGAGATCTTTGGTGTCTTTGGTCAGATTTATTCCAAGATATTTTTTGAGACTATTGTGAATGGTAGGGTTTCCCTGTGCTCTTTCTCTGACTGCTTGTCATTGGTATATAGAAAGGCTATAGACTTTTGTAGGTTAATTTTGTAATCTTC